AATTTTACTCCTTGGTGATGGAGTAAATTCGCTCCTTTCCCGGGGTGAAACTGGAATTAGCTATTTTACTCTTTTTTGAGAAAAATCGCTCCCCTTTTTCTAAGAGTGTAAGAAAACGAGACGACATCGGCTGTAACGAAATCCCCCAGACCGTGAGAGACGTACGAGATGAGATGCAATAGGACATCGGGCATGAGCTCCTCTCACTGTTCCTCATCTTGCACTGCCGGTCATGCGGCAACAAGGACAAGTCGAAGCCTAGTTTGAGGACCGATGCCTTTCTATTGCAACTCGCGTTGCGTCATTCGAGTGATCACTCGAGCATTCCGATCTGGTCGCTCTATAGGAAACTCAGGCGGTTGCATCCACCGATAAAGGTCCACCGGTCTTCCATCTAGGCTTCGGGACGCTTTATTTGCCACATGACTTAACCCTTTCCGCAACGCTACCACCGATGGCGAACCCAGTCCGACGGAGGAGCGGAAAGGGCTAGAGTGGTTCACGTTTTTAAGAAAGAGCAAAGTACGAGGGAAACTTGTATATTGGCCACACAGCCGAGATCGCTGCTGCACCTTCACGTTGACAATGCCTTCCGACTACATAGCATCATGTGTATTGGGATACTTAAGTCCGTTGCCCTTGCTTTCTCGTCAAAAGGAACTGACGAGAACCTCAAATCATTTAATGGAAAACTTCAGGCAATTGAAATCTTAATGAAATCTCCAAGGTTTTTCTTCTATAGCTTTTTTCTTTCTAGGTTTCATGTTCTCTTTTCTTTGTGCGGAAAAATCGGAATCGAAATCTGGAACTATCTTCTCGACTCACTTGGAGACTTTTTAAAGCTCAGTCATTCACATTCCCTAATAAGCTTACGTTTTTTTAACCTGCCAATAACTATTTGAGAAGTAATGGATTCATTTCTTAGCAGGCAATTCAAGCATTTAGCAAGTAAAACTTTAGAAACAATGTCCATAAAATAATAATAATAATAACAGATTTCAGATCGGAGGATGGGTGAGATACGGGAAGGAACTGACTGCAAGAGTAGGTGGGTTAATTCCTGTGTGGCGAATTCCAAGACGAGTGAGATGTTGGCAACTTCCAGGGCAGCGTCATTCGGATTATGGAAACCGTAGGACTTCCCGATCGCCGACTTGGGCGAAGCCACTCGATCTGTGTGATCGACACATAATCACATCGTTCATCAGAAAGGGGAATCCGAACCCTGAATTTTTTTATCGCAATCCATGCATTACCAGAAATTGAACCTCCTCTCGTCTTTCATCCAGTTCGGTCATAGGCTACGTGCTTGTAAAATTTGAACGAGAATACACGATTCCTGACCTTCTTCGAAGAGGAGCTTCTCCTGGTCTAATCTTTTACTCAGATCTTCTTTTGCCTTCTGGACGGAAATGTCCAAGAGGCGAGAAGGTACGATCAATTCCGGGGGACTGACTTCTCTCCAAGGCTCCAGGGACATCCGATGAAGCGTCTCGCACAACACAGGGGCATTCCTGCACGAAGGTAACTTTGTCGTCGACAATCGAGAAGGTTGCAATAAAAGTCCGGCTTCTGACAGCATCCAACTCACAAAAAGGGATCAGGCGCGAGGAAAACTTGCGGTTGGACTCGCGTGAGTCCCGAGTTCATGCACAGCAAGGATCCCAACGTCACTTTCTTAATCTCCGCCAATTGTGCTATCGAGAACGAAATGGGAACACTGAGGAACGTCGAAAAATATAACGGAAGATCCAGAAACGGGCGGCAAGATCCAGACTTGAAATGAATACGAACGAATCTGAAGAGGAGACGAAAATCTAAAATGAAATGGAGTTAAAGAATTCGAAAAAAATTCTTACTTTTCACGCGGAAGTCTTCGCGTTTTACTTCTGAAATTATTGCATCGATGACGTAACGTGTCGATATGCCGGATGTGTCATGCAACGCACTCACCCTTGGAAAACTTGTTCGGCGCAAAGTCGTTCTCGTACCAGAAGCGATCGGACCGCCGGATGCGCTTGAACTGTTCGCTGAGGAGACAAGAGAAAGTGCGACCGAGGAGACTGCCATGAGGAGGGATTTCCAAGAGACCCCCCGTCACCAAGTCGACGTCTTCCACCGACCTAGCACCCGATCGAGAGGGGGAAAAAGCAGCGAGTGGAACGTCGGGAGCCGGAGAAGAGGTTCGGAGGAGAGAAGAGTCCTCTCACGCGTATATTTCCTGCAACTTCGCGATCCCGTCTTCTGGGATGTCGTCTTCGAGATGGGAGAAGTTGCTGGTGCTTCCGAGGCCACACCATTCTCTGTATGCTGCATACCCTGGAAGCCCGTGGTCTCGTCCTTGTTCGACCGAATAGGCCCCCATGTATCGACTCGCCTCTGTGCCACAGACATACGAGACGACGGATTTCATCGCATCCTACACCGAGTCGGTGCAGGAAAGAAGTGAATTACGGCGAAATACTAAAACGCGCATCCGAGTCCTCATCGGAACGAGGTGCTCCTACAGAACCGAAATGCCTAGTATTTCCAGAAGAAAATCTCGTCGAGTGCGTGCTATCGGTTCTGGATTTCTTCGTAACTTTCACTCGATTAACTACGCCTATACCGTCGAAGCACGTGGATCTCTTTCTTAGTCTTCAGAGAGTCTGCACCTCGGTTCGTATCACCTCCGCGTCTCGTGAAAAATAAATCCTGAAAAGGCGGCGCCTACTTATACCATATTGCAGAAGACGCCGTGCATATTACAGCTTAACATAGGCGGCGATTCGTCGAGAAATATGGGGAGGGGGGGGGGGGGGAAGGCTCAAAGACGGTACTCTTGCAAGTATTCCTCATTCTCATCTCCTCGCTGTGAGCCCCTTCTGCCAAATTTTTGGGGAGCCTCGAGCGCCCCGAGCCCATATGGATCGCCGCCTTTGCAGCTTAACAGCACTACAGTAATTAGCAACCAAGTGCTCATCGTTAAGTTTTTTCAGTTATTTTCCGGGGCTGTTTGTTTTTGCTGTCAATTACCTTGCAGAGGCGATTTTTTTTTTTACAGCTCTCGAACATTCTTTCGTGGAGTATCACTAAATCGATTCGGCAAACGCTGCATCGAGGAAAAAGTTTGGGGCTTGGAATTCTATCGCCGAACGGATGAACCCGTGTCGCGCCTCGACGGGCGGAAGGGACTTTGGGAAACCTTGGCTGCCGAAGATGGGGCCGACGGAGGAAGTCTTGGAGACGAGGAGGCCGGCGAGAAGAGAATCCAAGTCCAGGGAATTCCTCAGGAGAGACGGATTGTACCTTCCGCTGTCCGCGGGGATCTCCAAACGGACGCCCGTCGTCTGCAAACACGGCAACGAACGCATCACGCAAACGAACGCGCTCGTTCTCGTTCGATAGGCGACACGAGACGGAATCGACGGTGCGCGGACGCCGGGCAGACTTCCCCGACCGTCGCGGTTCGGTAGAAAGAGTCGAGCGACGAAGTCTGCAGCGCGGACGAAAACTCTCTGCCGTCGGTCGCACGTCGGGGGGAGAGTCGAGCGCTCCAACGTCTTACGGTCGTCGGGCGAAATTTCACGACGAGATGCCGGTCGCGAAACGAAAGCGTTCGAAGACGCTGCGCCTCTCTTCGCATTTCCATCGTCACGACGCTTTCGCACTCCGTGGTTCACGATCGCGAGGAAAGAATTCGGAAACCAGACGGCCGAAAGGGAGACGAAGCGATCGAGCGTGACGTCCGACTCCGATCGTCGCGATCGCAACGGCACGAACGTCGACGGCGAAGTACGCGAAAGGAAGTCGGGTGGTGCTTATTCGTTTCGTGGACGCAACGCGATCGGGAATGCGATTCGTCTACTTTTCGCCGGTCGACCTCGACGAAGTGGATTTTCCGGCTCCGTTGGTCCGCGACGGCGTGGACGCATGGCACGAAACTTACCGAAGGAGATACTTCCGGCCGACTCTTTCGTTGTGGTGTCGATTCGTAAAAACGCGAAGAAACCGGGATGCGAGAATTCAGGCGTCTGCACGCAAAGGTCGTTCTCACCGTTCCCCTTACCATCCATGGGAACGGACCCCGGACGGACCTTCTTTCTTCTCCTGATTTCATCTTCAGTTTTGCGAGTCCGTTTGGAGTAAAAAAAAAAAAAAAAAAAAATCTGTCTCTGGTTTCCCGCCAAGGAGCTGCGATCCGGAGGACGGCGACGGAGGGAAAAAGACGAATGGATCCACGAGGAGGGAAATAGGGATCGAAAGGCGACGGACGACCGTAAATTTCGTAACGTAACGCCCGAGAAGAGAGTTCGAGTCCCCCGCCGCCGAAAACACCGTGACCACTTTCACCGGATTTTGCGGAATCACTCCTCCGCGATCCGTCCCTTCTCTCCGAGCGACTCACCTGATTGAGAACGACGAGAGTCAGAGGAAACATGGTGCTGAGGAATCCGACGACGCTGGCGGCGACGCCGTTCCCGATCCCCGGGTCCACCGAAGAGTCGTAACCGGTGAAGTAACCGCTCGGTTCGATTTCCAAACCCGCTCTCTCGTACCGAACCTGGTTTCGCGGGAGGAAAATCGGAACGCTTTCTCAAGATTCCAACACGCTTTCGGATCGAAACGCGAAGCCCCGAAAACGAAACGACTCGAGGAGATCTCGACGAGAGATCGTTAAGGTTTTCCCGAATTTTGGAATCCCTCCCCGTAGAAAGTGGGATCGATGGCGGAAACTCGGCCCCGGGACGGGACGGTACCGACCTCGTCGAGAACGGTTTTCAGGAACTCGTCGTAGGTGACGTGTTGAATCTCCGCGATCACGATCCGCCGCGTCTCCTGGAAGATCCTCTCGTCCTCCCAGTGAGGGTTGAAGGTCGCCAACGTCCCGGCGACCCTGTCGTGCTCTCTCGTCAGCAGGATCGCCAGACTCGCTTGCCCCGCGTTCTCGTTCACTCGCTGGTCCCCGCTCGCGAAACACCTGTCCGAAAAAAACGAACGTTCGTCTCGGGGAAAGGGGAAAGGTTTCCGCCGGCGAGTCGGCGAGAGTCCCGTTCGTCCGCGTCCGTTTCTGCGAGCTCTCGCGCGGCGGGTCCCCGTGGCACTCTGCGCACGCGCGAGAACGCTTCCACGGACCGGAACCGAGAGGCTTCTCCGCGCCTTTTCCGTTCGATCGCGAGGCTCGCCTCTCGGCGAAAAACGACCGAGACGCCGAAGAGGAAAACGGATGCATCCGACACCGAAACGAAGAGGAACGAACCGAAGAAACGACAATCGCGGGAAAAGGATTTCGGGCAGACCGACCCTCCGATGTCGAGGCAACGTGCGAAGGCGTCGGTCCTCGGCGGCAGTCCGGTGCTCGGGTCCGTCACCAATCGGCCCCCGCGAAAGGATCGCAAGGCCAGAGAGTCCTCTTCCGACGACCCGTACAAGATGGAGCCGTCCAGGAAGGCCGTGGCCGTGTTCGCTTGCTCTCGAGGACCTATACGAAACCGGGATTTTCGTTTCGGGAATCGCGAAACGGATCCGATGCCACGGATCGGAAGAGCGAAAACGACGGAGGCACGTACCGAGAGCGCAAACGGGACCGGGAGCGTTGAGAGACCGATGGTAATCGATGCACACGGACGTCGACTCGTCGTTCCACGTCATGGGGATGCTCTCGGGACCCGGTCGAGTGCAACTCGACTCCTCGTCTGAAATTCGCAAGAGAACGGTGACGCTCGGCCGATCCGAGATCGAGAGATTCTCCTCGGCCTCGTTGCCGCGTCCTTCGCCGTCGAGGCCGAAGAGAGTCGAGGAGGATCGCGTCACGGGTCGCGGAGATGCACGCAATCGGGTCGAGACGTGGGAGGGGAAACGCGGATCCGATCCCTCGCATGCCACGAGTTGCTCAATCCGGACTCGTCTGCGTTTCTCCGGACTTCTCGCCCCGTTCTTCGGGAGACGTACCGCGTCGCGGCGTCGTTCGCGATGCGACTCCGAGAGAGAATCGCGACGCTCTCGTCGACGACCCCCGAGGGACGAAGTTCTCGAAGAGCCACGAGATTCGAGACGGCGAGGGTTTCGGGCGCATCGCCTTCCCCGACGGAACCGATCGTATCGGTTCCCGAGTCGCGAGAACGGAAAGAAAACGAAAAGCACGAGGAAAAGAGTACAAGTGGAGTCGTCGTCGAGGTCGAGAGACGGACTAACGCAATCGGGGCATTCATCGTACGTCGTTTCCTCGTGGCATTCGGTACTTCCCGGTCCTTCCTTGCAATTTTCTCGTTTTTCCCCTTTTTTTCGATGGATAATTTTTCGCCGTGACGTTCACGAGGCTCGTACTCACCGTTTCTCCGCTCGAAACTGCCAGAACCCAGGAACGACGACTGGGAAACCGGCGACCGCGACCGACGGTCGTCGCCGAGTCCATCGTCGCGGGGTCCGAATCCTAACGTCTCCCGCGAGCCGAGTCCGAAGGAGAGTCTTCGTTTCGTCGACTCGAGAAGGCGAAGCTCGCGAATTCCCGAGGATTCGTCCTCGCGTGCTCGAAAACGCGAGCCGGATCGAAGTCTCCCGAATTCGGTTAAAAGTCGATACGATCTCGCGAACCGTCCGAAATTCCGAGTCCTGACCCCCTCCACGCTCTAAAAATGAAGGTAGAGTTCGTCGAGGAAAAAAAAAAAAACAAAAAAAAACCCTCTCCCGGTTCGGTCCAGAGAAGAAGCAGGAGTGAGGAATTCCCCGAAACCGGAACCGAATGCATCGCAAATCGAGTTTAACTCGTCGTTCTCGCGTCTCGTTAACCTGGGAAGGAAAAAAGGAGAACGCGAAAGTGCGACCGATCGCCGCAAAATCACCGACACCTGTCCGATTGAAAAAAAAGGTCTGAAATGCCGACCCAAAGCCATGGAACGCGACGGTATACCTGAAACGGGGTTCACGATCGCGTGCCCGACAGACGAGACGTCGCGAATTCCACCGCAAATGCAAGTCGCAGTTTTCCCTTCGACGAAAGTTCACACGGAATCGTGTCAAAATCAGTTTCCGATTTTTCGATGCGGCACGAAACCGACTTTTATTCGTTTCGTCGCGAGGAAAAGGTGTCGGTGTGGCCCTACGAATGGAATTCCTCGAGGGATCCCATTCGTTCGACGGGAGAACAGACCGTCGAGAGACGGTGCCGGTCCGTTCTCCCGTCGCGACGTCGAGCGTTAAAAAATTCGACACGAGATCTTCGTCGACAGAGGTCGTTCCCGAACGAGTCCTCGTCGAAACCTCGCGGGACTTTCGCGACGCGCTTCTTCGCGCTTCGATCGCGTTCTCCGCAGATCGATCGACCCTCTCGACGCGCCACTCTTCGTCGCGACCGAGAGAAAACGACGCTCGGACGCTCCGTCACCTCGGAACTTCTCGATGCGTTGGATGTCGTTGGCCAGGAGTTGTCCCCAGAAAGGCGTGAGGGCGGAGACGAACTCGTCTCGCCTCGCCTCGCCCGTGTGGATCGCACCCGCCACCAACAGCGGAGGAGGCAGCAACCCGTTCCCGATCCCACCTCCACGCGGCTCGCTCACACCTGGAAGAGAGAGAAAACGGAACGTTCCTTTACCGTTCTCGTCGTCGCCGGGAGCTCGTCGAAGACCGAACGGAAACCCCGAGTCCTTCTTTCCGATGACGATCGAAACGGTCCGAATCGCTCGCTAAATCACGGAATCGTCGACGTCACGAGATCGAACGACGAAATCGCGAAGGCGTTTCGTCTTCGATCGGACGTCAGAAGAGCGCGTTAACGTTTCGTTTTTCCTCTCGTATCGCCGTCGGGTCACTCATTGCTCGTAAAATCGCTTAAAACCGCGGTCGATGACATTTAAATCTCATTTATTGTAGTCGCCTGCGTTCCGATCGCACCATCGGACGACACCTCTCTTCGATGGCTTTCTTTCATATTGATACAACAGTACATTACTCTGGACGGCCGAAGAAATAAATTCGACTCTGCCGAGTCGTCGTAGTTTTAGAGCGAGGGAAACGGAACCCCGGGTGGAGTTGGGAAATTTTCAATAGGGATGTTGGCAGACGTAATCGTTTACGAGTCTATGGGCTAAATAAAAAACCGGTCGTGGATTTGGGACCCCGGCTCGGGAAGGATATAAACCTTCGGGAGAAAAGTGAATCCGGTCACCGATTTCCTTCACCGATCGGCTTCGTAGGCACTCCGGTAAAAATGTGAAAAACTCTACCGTGGGAACGATCGGCCATTCAAAAGCTGATCGATATCAACAGGATACGGTGACCCGTATGCTTTGCTCGTTTCTCGTCGCGTCCGCTGGAACACACACCTTCGGTTGCCGTTGCGGGTAAGTCCCGTCGTTCCAAACGAACATTCTTTCGGCTTCGGAAACGACAACTCGACAAAATGCTGAGCGCAACGCTTTCCTTCCAGAGACGAATCCAAGGTTTTTCCTTTTTTTTGTTTTTTTTTTTTTTTTTTTTCTTCAGCGAGACGTGAAGCGAAAAGAAGTAGGCCATTCGAAAATCCTGCAGAGATCCGCCGACGAGATTCCGCCGTTGCGAAATCCATCGGCGAGGGACAAAGAAGAGGGGGAACGTGGAGAGGGAGAAAGATTCGAAAGCACGGATGATGACTGCGAGAATGACGCAATCTCGTTCTCACCGGATCCCGAAACAAAAAAAATAAATCCGTTAATTTTCGCGTCTCATCCTGCTTCCGTGGGAATCACTGCCAGAAGAGGAAGAACGAACGTTGGGGAAAACGTCGGATTCATTCCCACGCACTTTCCAGCAGACGATCGTCTGGTACTATTCCTTCGCGGACGTTCGTTTCCGCGATATCAGATATCATGCGCTGGAAATTCTGGAGTAGATACTGATAAAATAGCATGCGTTATTTCGTACACGGGTAATTTCAGCGCCAGCAAGACGGTTCATCCGATGCATTTCCTTTATGAAATTGCCGCAGCGGTTATACGGAAAAATTCGACCGGAGATGTCCCTCCGAATGGCCGTTCCGCCACCTGTCGGATGGCTCGGTTTTTACTTGGATTTCGTGTGAGATATTTGCGGAAATTCTCTTGCCGTGCACGAACGCGTACCGTGCGATGATGATGGCGGGCCTTCTCGCCCGAGATCGCGAACGGGAAAATAAAGAGAGAGAGAGAACGATGGGAAACGTACCGTCGTCGTATCGAGGCGGGAGGATCCTCTTGAAGGGGACACCGGCGGATCCCCAGAAGGGGTGTTCCAGGTTGTTGCAGATTCCATCGAGGCTTCGGAAGGCGGAAGGGTCGCAAGCCAAGTTCCGCAGATACGGACAGCCTCTGGTCAGTTGCAGACGACTCACCTTCTCCCACGTCTCGCCTCCTTTCAGACCCTCCCTGTTCCACGGAGATCGCTTTTACTTCCACGAATCGTAGCAGTCGGGCAGACCTAACGCATCTTCGTTTGCAATCGACGAGTCGCCGGGTAAAGTTCTCGTTCGGCAATCGCCGTTTCTGAGACTTCATCGATACGTACGAAACGATTCATAACGCATCGGTGCGTCCGTAATATTACCGGCACCGATTCGTTCGTTCTCGATCGTTCCTACTGCCAGTAGACCTCCACGAAACGAGACAAAAATATACAGTATTTGTTTTCGTGACGGAAAGGCTTGCCCTAAAATATGTTTAGAGGGTCGACGAAACGAACGAGAATTCGTTTCCAGTCCTCAGAGGCTCTCCCTTAACCTCCAACAGATGTCTCACTTCAGAATGAGCAAGGCCCAAGGTCTAAGAACCTTTGTTCGCGAAGTCCTAGCAGTCGATCGAACGATTTCGGTAGCGCGGCTTCGTGTTACTACCAGGAAACCCCCCTCCCCATACCCCCAACCAACGTTTTGGTTCAATTTCCACGTACGAGCGCCGTCGGCAGTCGAGCCACATTCGATTCCAACAGATCGTACGACACGAAAATCAGGCTCTGTCGTACCGCTTAACGAAGGCCGTTTAAGAATGTCGACACGAACGAGGCCTCCCGTCGCGTCGTACCGAATGGAGTTGGGACTTCTAGGGCGCTCCTCCTCGCATGGAAGGTGAGAGAACGACGGGCGTTTCCGTTTGCCTCACCCCGTCACGTTCCGTCCTTCTCCCCAGGACACACGTACGTACAGCACTTCGATTTCCGAGTCTCCTCGTGTCACACATCGCCACAATTACGAGCTCGTGCTCCAGACCGAATGCCGGAAGATGCATTTCGCTTCGCTCTTCCATCGGCGCAGAGTACTTTCGCTCGAGTCCTCGATCGAAAACAGCCTTATCGTCGCCCGTTTTGCCCGGGTCAGACGCTTCACGACTGCATTTCCTCTCCTTTTTCCACCGGTGGAGTCGATGGGGTAAACCGCACCGGTGCATGCGGCCCCTATCGCCGTGATTGCAAACGATAGCAGGTTGCAAAGAAGGAAGCAGCGACACGGAAGGAAGGAAATTCTTGCGCACGTACCATCGCGCAGCGGACCCCACGTCCAATCCCGTTCGTGTGAGTTCAGTGGGATTTCCGGTTAGGAAAACCACACGGAATGCGACGTAAAAAAAAAATCTCGTGATTTCCAAGCCGGAGAAGAAAGAAAAGACCGAGTCGAAGAGCGAAAGGAAAGTAAGAGGAACGTCCCATCGTAAGTTGTTCACGATTACGTGAAGCGTTATAAAAGTGTTGCGATGAGATAGAGATTTCCTTTTTTCCATTACGACCGAGGAACGGCCAGGGCGATTGAGGAAAGGTCCATTACTTCTCGGCTCGCCACGTGAACTTTCCATGCCTCCCTTTCACCCAAATCCTCGTCACGTCTGCTATATCATTTCCGGGCACTAAGACGCCGACGATCCGTTTCTATCCAGGCAAAACGAACTCGCCGGAGTTTCGGAGGATTGGCGGAAAAACTCTTCTGGAGTTACGGAAAGTCTCATCTCGATCCTTAAAAGGTTCGATCGACCATCATAAATACAAATTAAGGAAAGTCGTCCACAGAAAAAAATCGAGCACCTACGAGTTGTTTTCCTTTTCGCCAACTAGGTGTCTGGCATCGTGTAACGGGTTCGGGCGTGAACACGAATCATTCACGACCGGGAAATACATATATGGAATCGTCGCGTCCGATACGGAAAGGTGATGGAGTTTTGCAATCCCGTGCCAAAAAATGAAACCGACCTTGCACTAAATGAAAAATTCCTACAGTAGTTAAAATTTCTCGGCGAGTCGGAGTCACCGAGCCGAAGTCGCTCGAAAACGAAAAAGAATTCGAGCATTTCCGTTTACCGAAGGGAGAGGATGATGGATTCCATGCACGAGCGTAGGACCGTAAATATCGGGTCCCGAGCCGGCGAACTCGACCTCAGTCTGAAGACGAAGAGACACGGGGGTCCTTCGTTTCGCGAGAGACGAAACATCTTCATCTCGGATGACTCTTTCGTAACCCCTCGCCTCGAGATGTCGGTGACATCGGAAAGACCGAATGTCGTTTCCGCTCTTTCTCACCCTCCAGCGGGATTTTTTTTTTTTCCAAGCAAATATCTCACATAACCTAGTCGGCTCGAGCACCCGTCTCCAGTCTCGACGTTTCGCGAACGGTCGCCGACCGTACGTGCCCTCGAGCCTTCATGCGCTGCCGATTCACCTCGACGTCCACGAAGCGAAACGAGCGAGGCCCTCGTAGCGACCATTTTGCCTCGAAACTCGGTGGGTCGACAGGAAATCACACGAGAGCGAAGGGCGATCACCCGAGATCGTATTTTCTTGTCAAATATAATAGCCGAAAGAAATCGCATTCTCGATATCGCTTTTCGTGTCATGCAACAACATGCTCCATCGACGATCGATGGGTCCGGTTGTGATCCGTTTCCTCGGGCACACTCGGGGACTTTTTGCAGGTGTTGCTCTCGAAAGTGGAGAGAATGGCGCCCGAGACCCCGCCCCGAGCGTGCGTGTCTTTATCGACTCGAGGCGCTGCTAAGTGCACCTTTTCTCTTCCGCAAAGGTCTTGTCCTCATCGTGCACCGAGTGCGTATGTGGTCCGAGTCGGCAGGCTTGACCGACGTCACTTTCGCCGATTCGTACCTATTTCGCAGCGACCGACCGGAATCCGTGACGCACCCGATGCCCGCGGTCTCCTCGAATTCCATCCCGAACCCACCCATCCGCACGTAGACTCCCTGGAAGCTCGATCCGGAAGGAACGTCGGAGAAACGTGCTCTCTCGGTCGGGAACCAACGAAAACATCCACACGTTCTCGTCTTTCCCTTAAATATGCTGGAAGCATTCCCAAACGTCCAAGCATGCTGTGATGTTCTGCGATACTCTCGAGGGGAAATGCCGTCACCTCACCGATGTGCGAGACGAAGAGACGAAGCAGGGCGCAAAAATGCCATCCCCTGTGATGGCATTTTCGTCTCATTAATAAGCTTTCGTTACGATAGAACCTCGGATATCCGAGACCCCCCGGCTATCCGAAACGTCTTAGCGAAAAAAAACCTCACTCGAAAAAGTGGGTTAGATGGTGTTCTTTGCTGTTTTCCTTCGACCTGCCCAGAATAGAAAGTGCCGGGGACCTGGAAATCTCACCCGAAGCTCAGAATATGCACAAAAAATGTCCGAAACCTTCGGAAAAAAACAAACAAAATCCCCTCTCCCCATATTCTCTTGGATGAACGATTCACGAGTACTGGCTATGATTATTGCTTTTCTACCATGCGAAAGCTACGAACTTCCCAAGCTCGAGCTGTAATCATAATTTTCATCAGCCTCTCGTTAAAACTCTCAAACTAAACTTAGGTGTACTTCTTAACTCCGAATCGAGACCCCTACTCGACCCCGTATCGTAGTACTTCCGGCGAGTCTCGATTTGAGAACTGGAAACGACTACCGTACAGCAAATTTGCCAAAAGATAAATAGTTTAAAGTGATGGTTTGCTGGAAAGGAGCCTTTGGATGTTCAGGATTTGGCTAGATCCATCAAATCAGAGCCGAGACGCATACCTCTGTCTGAGCACCACGAGTGTTGCCGATGCAGCACTTACGGTGAGAATATACGAGAGAGAAGATATAAACTTCATATTTTATCGCGAAGATACGAAGTACACAGCTTCTGGATATCGGAAAGTAAAAAATGACAACTAAAATCTATCGATCACTCCTCGTATTCCTGCACGGAGGGCACATACTACCCTCCAAAAAGTTCTCTACCCCTCACCTTAGAATTTGAATTTCTCCAAGTTTCCAGGTTACGTTTTATCGGTGGGAATACAACATCTCTGCGACCGATGATATCACTTACACGGGTCGGGAGACGAAGAAAACTCGAATACGGTTGAGAAAAAAAAAAAAGTTGATGTGTTCTCGCAGAAGAATTTGGATTCTGAAGGTTCTCGCGAATGAAGGTTCGCTTTATTCATGCTACCGACATTAGTGATAACGAGTGTCGAAAGAGAGCAGCACGTTTACGATTTGCTTTCTGCATGGACCGTTCGATGGCCGAGTGGAGCGAACGATTCGCGATCGAGACGCTCATTCCATTTCCTTGTAATGAGTCCTAGGATCGACCAGACGGGGGCAGACCTCGATACGAAGGAAGACTCGATCGAGGGCCATCCATGGTCATCTTTTCGAGCGTATCTTAGCATCATCCTCGCACGACCTGAAGGTCGTGCGTGTGAACGATCATCGAAACGATCTCGAGGGACGTTAGAAAATTCGCCTCTTCCATTCCGAAGGTTCGACGCGAATCGTCGATCCGATGAAGACACGACTCAGAGCATTTCGTGTCTCCATCGACAGCGCTCGCTCGCAAATAAATTATTTTAAAATTCATGCTTTTTTTTCCCCGAAGACGAAGAGATGAACTGACTGTTGCAGAACGAGGCGAAGAGTCTCCTCTGCCACGGCTGCATACCATGACACGTTTCTCGTCACATCACCCAGACCTGCAATTAACAGATATCATATATATTTATACGAATAAACGAAAAATCATACCGTAATATGATCGTGATTAAGCGATAACGGAAGAACGTTTCATTCGAGGAAAGGGATGCGATTTTGTTCGTTCCCTCACCGGAAGGGGAAATGCCTTTCACCGAAGTCAGGCCTCCTTTCATCGATGCACTTCTTGCATAGGTTAACATAGAGAGGGGTCGATGATGGAACGGACTGCATAATTTCGCCCCCGTTGTGAAGTCTCGACGATGCATCGATTCACTGCATGCAAGGGGTCGAAATCTTTTGCACATCGTCCGAAGTACGGCGGCTCACGTGCTCGAACGCATTCGAAAAGTTCTCGTGAGGCCGTGACGGTGGGGAATGCACTTTTCTTTCGCGAAACAACAGCGACCGTTACTGCATCCTCATTCCCTATGGCTTCGTTGCACAACCCCCACGAGATGAAATTGCAGGAGCCTACTTCCAACAGGATATTCGTACGGCCGATCGCACCGCGCGCTTGCTGGATCGAGCCTTCGCAGACCGATTCGTTTTAAAAGGGCTGGGAACACATCTTTCCCGAGATTTTCACCCGTCTGGACTTCGACGCCCACGAGCTCGTCGAAACGATCGAAAAATATTTTCCCAATAGCACGGTCCTTTTGCACGAGCCCTCGAGGTCTTCGTGAAATTCGTGCAGACGATTTAACGCCTCGGCGATGCCTTCCGCACGGAGACCGAACGTCCTACTCGAACGAGGAACTCACGGCATGCGTATCGTATTCGTCACTGGTGTCGTTCTGTCCATCGTGGACCTATCGAGTACGAATCGTCTGTTCGCAGGCACGGATGGGAAATCCATGCTTCCTGGGTGGTATGCTACACCTCCCTTCGCGCATGGTCTACGTCTACTCTATCGAGATCGGTCCAAGGGCTCGTGCAAAATCATGCCATTGGGGCAGTTTTCGATGGTTCGGATCGGAGCGTTCGAGAACCCAGAACGTCGAGTACGAGCGCTTCACGTTCACGAATAAACCACTTTTTGCACATTCTGTGATGCAGCGATTCCGGGTTACCGAGCGCATACTGCACATCTTTTCGATCGCGTATTTATGCGGTATGCATTCATATAGAAGAGCCCAGATAAAGTACATCATACATCCGAGGACGGCATCATATACGTACGTGCTTAATAGAAATACATTTATTACAATCTCTCAGGATCTTAGGCGTCATCATTCACGATTAGCCGTGGGATCATCTGAGGTCGTTCCGACCATGTTCTTACCTTCGGAAGCCAATGCCGTCTCGCGAGATGCAACGAATTTATCGTACGTACGTGCGGGGCAGAAAGGAGCATCATTTCGCGAGGGACTTCCGTATGGGGGGGAAGGGAGAAATTATTTCTCCCCAGGGCTATGAAAGGCGGAAGCCTCGCCAGGGGCGAATTCAATCCGGAGAATAAAACAGCAGGAGTCCTCTCTCGATCGACTTCTTTCTTTTTAACACTATGTCACGCCTCCTCTTTTTTAGAATCGAGACCGAATGCCCGTTAAATCGAGCATTGTGGCCCGTTCGGGAAGAAAACAGATCCTAGAATTACGAGAAAAGCATGTCGATATGACGCAATCGTTAAAAAGATGCAGGTTTCCAAGAAATGGGTTTCTCGATATCCGAAGGGCTTGCGCACACGAGCGAGGCCCCTTTCGCACCTTTTTCATCCGGGTCGGGAAAGTATCGATCGATTCGCCCCGGAACGGAAGACGACGTGACGGTGTTCCCGAATGCGACGAGAAATCACCACCACATCCGACGAGATCTCGATTCGAATCTCTTCGATGCTCGAACGATGTTCGAACGGAATCGAAGCTGCGGATTCCCGACGGGGTCGATCGTACGCGAGTTCGTAACGAGTCGAGAATCCTCGAAGCCGGCCCACGAGAAGAGCAGAGAAGAGCCCCTTCTAGAACGGGGAGAGACGTCTCGGAAGCATCTTCGTTCGCACGGAACGTTCGAAACGCGTGCAGGCGCGTCGGTGTCGAAGAAGAAACGGGATGTTCAAAGTTGGCATCGCGTTCGGTTTCGAAAAAGACGGATGCCCCTTCGAGCTTCTCGACGAACTCGCGGAGACATACCGCGCGATTTAGAAGGGATGCAGCACGCTCTTCTCTATTTTTCTTTTTCTTCTCGAATTGCAATACGCGAGATGCGAAACGGAGAAGTGCTCCGAGGATGCGTGCGAGCTCGAGCGGCTCGAGACGAAACGGTGTTACTGACGTGTTACTTCGGAGGCCGGTCCGGCCTCCGAAGTAACACGTCAAGGTTCTCCGACGAGCCATTTCACCACGGAGAAAAGACCATGCCTCCAACGTGCCTTGGGGTGAGAGACTGCGGAGGATCGGCTAAAGAGTTAATAGCCTAAGAGCTGCAGTGACGGCGCCGTTTCCCATCGCCGTCTCGTCGCAACGGTGGCGGCTTTCGACGACCCCGACGTTTGCTACATGCACCGTTGTCGTTTCCAGACCGCCACTTCCGTTACGAGAGGGAAGATACGAATCCTCCACCTCCGTCATCTTTACGAGTATCTCTTTGCAGACGAGATTCGTTCGAATCGACGCTTCCATCGAGTGTCCATTTTTGCGCAAACGGTTTCTCGGTGACGCGGAGAATGAGGATTTTCTGCGAAGAAAAGCGTACGAAACGACGCATCGCTCGAGGGAATCCAAAAGATGGCGACGAGGAGCCGTTCTTCGATAGACACGGTCTATGTGGGTCATAGAAGACGAAAGTTATCTCTTCCCCGTTAAGCATGTCGGAAACGTGGAAGCACCGTTATCGACTTCATTCTTCGACCGGAAATCTGAAGGGGAAGGTTATTCCGGATTTTTTTTAGGTCACTCCAGCTTATGGGTTCCCAGGTTCCAAGCCGACCCAGTTCCAAGTTTCTTTTTAGAACGGTCGAACTCGATAGCGGCCGAGCCTTCGTATCACGAAACATATCTTTGGAATTCGGAAGTACGACAGTACGGTCGTACGTGCCATAGGTTTCGAGCGAATGAGGCCCGACTATGGCGTAATTTCATTACCAGGGACGAAAATTAATGACGGCGGTCAAAGCTGAGGTAAATGGCTTCCTTTTTTTTTTACCGTTTCCTCAGACTGACGTAAGAGATCACGTTACCGATCGGGAAAGTGGGTTCGTTATATTTTTTTTTTCGTCTCC